GTCTCGCTACCCCTGACCCTGCCTCTGTTTGTCCCAGCAGCGACATGGAGGCTTCCCCCAGCGGTCATACCATGGGAAGTGTCCTCCCGTCCGTGACCCTCCTGGGACGGCGGACGGGTCATGTCCAGCCCAATCCCATTGTCCTTACTGGTAGATGATCTTGGAGATGGTCACTGCCCACCACCCACCGGATTGCACACAACAGCCCTTCCTCTGAGACCTTCGAGGGTCCTGGCTCCGTTGGGGTCCCAGTAAACTCCCCCCCTGCTCCCCAGGTCCCTGGGGACTGAGTCTCCCCTAGCCACAGAGCTCCCCAAAAGCAGCTGGTCTGGCTGATTTGCATACCGGCAGCTGGGGATAAGACAGGCCCGGGGGACCCTGCCCGCCTCAGCCTGGAGCAGCTCAGAGCCCGCCATGGCCTGGACCCGTCTCCTCCTGGGCCTCCTGGCTCTCTGCGAAGGTGCTGGCCGGGTCCCTGCCCCTGCCCAGGGCTCTGGCCCTGCCGGCCGACTCTGACCTGTGGGGTCTCACGAGTCTGCTGGGAGGTGGTGGTGAGGGAGACCCCACTGGCTCCCCTCTCCGTGTGAGCCTGCAGCGGCGCCTCACAAGGGGAAAGGAGGCGCAGTCAGAGCTTCCCTCCCTCTGCAGGCTGTGGTCAGTGGCTGGACGCTGCCACTGGGCCCTGGGGCCTGCGCGTGACAGCAGAGGCCAGGTCTTGCGGAAGACAGGCCAAGGGATCGTTCTCTCCGGGCCCTCATCTCCTGTCCACCTTCCTCTTCTCTCTCACAGCTTCCGTGGTCTCCTATGCGCTGACCCAGCCACCGTCGGCTTCAGTGGCCCTGGGAGGAACTGTCACAATCACCTGTCAGGGCGACAATCTTGGTAGTTATTATACTCAATGGTACCAGCAGCAGCCGGGCCAGGCCCCTGTACTGGTCATCTACAAGGATAAGGAGCGGCCCTCGGGGATCCCTGAGCGGTTCTCTGGCACCAGCTCGGGGAAAACGGCCACCCTGACCATCAGCGGGGTCCAGGCCGAGGACGAGGCCGACTACTACTGTCAGTCAGCTGACAGTAATGGTAAACCCACAGTGACACACGCTGATGGAGAAGTGAGACACAAACCCCTCCCTGCCTGGGCCGCCCTGTCCTCAGCCAGGGGATGGACACAGCCACGATCAGTACTGACCGGGCCCCAGCTCGGCTGCCCCTCCTGCTCCTGATGACTCTGCAGACGGGGTTCTGATCCGGGAGCTCCGAGGCGTGTTCCTGACCGCAGTCGTCTTGGGGTTGATGACCAGGTGGACAGAGGAGAGACAGCACTGGGGACTCCCAGAGGCAGCTGTGGACGGAGGGAGGGTGCCCAGGGCACAGATGGGTCAGCGTGAGGGAGG